CCGAGTCTATTTCAATTACAGTTGGACAACAACAGTATCAGGAGATCCATATTCAGCGTGCAGGTAAGTCAGTTGGTACCACCTAAAACATACTTTTTTTTCTTTTTACTTCACCGCATCTATTTCGTACCGTATATTGTTATATACCATAATAAGATTCCAGTAATTGTATTAAAATGGCAGCGGAACAAATCAAAGCCTTGAAAAACAAACGCGCAGGTGCTAAACAATCGTTAACCAGGTATTCAAATTGCCTTAAAGCATTTGATCCATCTAGGGATTTTCCTGCTCTGGAAAAGAGATACAAGGAAATTGAAACAACTCGCGAAAAATTTGAAAGCGCTCAATCAGAGCTCGAATCGCTCTGTGAGCTTAGCGATGAGCATCACGAGTATGGAGATGAATTCGAAGATCTATATTTTGAAACTTATTCAATTGCTACAAACCTTTTATCTAACCGATTGCTCGAAACTACTGTTACAGCAACTCCTACAAAAACAAACGTATCGGTAACACACGCGAGTACATATTCTGTTTCTGATCCGGAATCCCACAATTCTAGCCAAACTAACAATATTGCCAACCCTGTCACTCAAGTTAATGTCGATTTAACATTCACTAGTACCGTTTCATTACCATCCAATGTCAACCCTGCGTCAGTAAGCGCAGATCAGCCTCAGCAATCAATTACACAGCAACAACAGTTTGCTTCTGTTATCCCAAGCTCGCAACTTAGCGCAAAACTACCAACCATTGGTCTTCCTACATTTGATGGATCCATTAATACATGGTTGGATTTTCGTAACTTGTTTACTTCTTTAATCCATGAAGAGCCTAGTATCCCGCCTGTTCATAAGTTATTTTATCTTAAAGGCTGTTTACGCAAAGATGCTCTCGAGCGATATCATCTATGGACTTGTCGGCTCAAAACTATCTCATAGCTTGGAATTTACTGAAAGAGCAATACGATGATCCAAAATTCATTCGCGATAGCCATATAAATACACTACTGGACTTACCTAGTATATCGAAAGAATTTTAAACGCGAGAATTCGTAGATGGCGTCCAAACAAATATTCGGGTTCTTCAGACGTTGGGAGAACCCATCGATCAGTGGAATTCAATTTCAGTTTTAGTATTTCGAAGAAAGCTTGGCGAGCGTCTCTAAGAACGTTGGCAAGATTACAGAATTGACATTCCTAACCCAACACTTTCGCAGATGCTCACATTTTTCAACCGGCACGCTCGGCTGGAGGGTACTAAATCTCAAAATCAAGCACCGTTAGCCAAACCGTCTATATCTCGAGAAAGGGGTGAGACTGCTTACCAAAAGGCGGACTCACGCCCTCAGAAGGTCTACATGGTTGCTACTTCGCCAAATAGATGTCTTCATTGTGAAGGTGATCATTGGATATACTATTGCCCTGAATTCCTTACACTTAAGCCAAAACAGCGTCATGAAATTGCCAAAACGAGCAATTGGTGCAATAACTGTCTTCGCAAAGGTCATCGATCAGCTCAGTGTTCCTCTAGTAATTGCCGCACTTGCAATCGGAAACATCACACTCTCTTGCATTTCGACAGCAACAAGCCAGCAGCTCCTAAAACTTCATCGTCGACAGCGGCTGCATCTTCCACTTTAACTTTACACACTCGCGTTGCTTCGGAAGCTGTTCTAGCCACAGCGCTTATTGATATAGTTAACATGCATGGTAAAACTAAAACATGCAGAGTCTTTCTTGACGCAGGCTCTCAGGCTCACTTCATTACTGAGAGCGTCGCAATGTTCTTGAATTTAGATTGCAAACCAGTAACAATCGCAGTCTCAGGTCTTGATAATACATCAACTACCGTAAACCAGGCTACTACAGCGATTATAAAATCTCGTCACAACAAATTTCAAAAGACAATCGAATTTCTTATTGTGCCTCAAATCAGCGCTGCTATGCCATCTATCACTATTGATCCTTCTTCCATAGAAATTCCAAAAAACATTCATCTGGCAGATCCCGAGTTCTACAAAGTGTCGCCAGTAGACGCTTCAATCGGAGTAAAGCTTTTCTATAAGCTTCTGAGCATAGGTCAGATATCTCTAAAAAATCACCCAAACGCTGTGCTACAAAAAACACAGCTGGGGTGGATTATAGCAGGGGAATTGAGAAATCAACCCTCATCTCGAAGCATCGTTTGCCATCTCGGCCTTCATTCACCATCGTCTCAGCAAGAACTTACTCGGTTCTGGGAAATTGAAGAGCTGCCCCCGTCTAAGGCTCTTTCTCCAGAAGAAAAAGCTTGCGAGGAGCATTACAAACTTCACACTTCGCGGAATGATTCCGGAAGATATGTAGTAAGATTACCTTTCAACGTCCAAATTAAAAATTTGGGTACATCTTATTCAGCTGCCCTCAAGCGCCTCCATATATTAGAAAACAAGTTTTCTAGGAACCCTGAGCTGCAGCGTGACTATTCAGCGTTTTTAGCTGAATACAAGGATCTCAATCATATGTCGATAATCCCGGAGCACGAGAACAATAGTGTCGGTTTTTACCTTCCCCATCACGCCGTGCTTAAGCAAGATAGTGTCACCACTAAGATTCGTGTCGTGTTCGATGGATCATCAAAGTCTTCAACCGGTATCTCACTAAATGATACCTTAATGGTTGGTCCCAAGCTGCAGGATGACTTGATTGTATATCTTGACTCGGTTTCGATCTCACATATATGCATTTACCGCTGAAATCGAAAAGATGTATAGGCAAATTCTCGTCGACCCAATTGACGCTCGTTATCAAAAAATTATCCATCGGGACCATCCACCGGCTGTCATTAACAACTATGTCCTCAATTCTCTTACTTACGGTACAGCTTGTGCATCTCATTTGGCTGTTCGATCCTTGTACCAGCTAGCACAGGACCAATGTCATCTGTACCCTTTGACGGCTGTCGTTCTGACTAGGGACTTCTATGTTGACGACGTCCTCACTGGTGCCAACACCCATGAGGAGGCGTCCTGCCTGCGAGATCAGCTCGTCGAGCTTTTGAGAAAGGGAGGTTTTTACTTGCGCAAATGGGCCTCAAACGAACCCTCTCTTATCGTCAATTGTGCCGAGCATCCCACTTCTACACATATGTCTCTAGACCTCGAAGCTTCTATCAAAACTCTCGGTATACGGTGGAATGCTCGGAAAGATACGCTATTTTACCGCGTAAACATAATTGCGCAAGAATCACACACCAAGCGAAGTATCCTTTCCCGAATTGCTAAATTATTTGATCCACTGGGTTTGCTAGGCCCAGTGATAGTATATGCCAAAATAATTATCCAACTTTGCTGGAAGTCTGGGGTTACCTGAGATGAATCAGTCCCTCAAAACATACATGATATGTGGATCGCATATCAGAAACAACTTCCACTCCTGGAAAAATTACTCTTTCCTCGTTGCCTCGTTAGCCCGAACGTTGTAAGTATTCAAATGCATGGATTCTGTGACGCGAGTGAAAAGGCCTACGGGGCTTGTATTTATTTGCGCACCACAAACAGCGAAGGTATTGTGCGAATTACTCTCGTATGTTCTAAATCTCGCGTAGCGCCCGTCAGCACGGTAAGTCTACCTCGCTTAGAGCTGTGCGCTGCAGCTTTGTTGGCAAATCTTTATTGTACTGTGCAAGAGTCACTTTTGATGCCTATTAACGAGGTTCACCTGTGGTCAGATTCCACAATTACCCTACATTGGCTGCAAACAGCCCCTCATCGACTCAAAACTTTCGTAGCCAACCGCGTGGCAGACGTTCAGCGGAAAACTTCATGCTGTCGTTGGCGCCACCTTTTTTCTCAAGACAATCCCGCCGATTACATATCTCGTGGCCAGCTGCCTAGCGAATTCATTCGAAATGGTTTATGGTCACAAGGCCCTTCTTGGCTGCCTCTAGAGTCAAGTGCGTGGCCCGAAGGAGCTTTACAATTAGTCGAGATTCCCGAGTTAAAAACAAGCTCTGAAAAAATAACTGCTTATATCGCTTTAAATTCAACGGGGGCAAGCATTCTGGAACGATATAGCTCATTCGGTAAATTACAGCGCGTAGTGGCATATATTCTACGATTTATTTTCAACACGCGTAATAAAAACCAGCCTCGTCGCGAAAACTTATCATTGAAGGATATCTCGGAGGCTCATACGCTAATTATTAAGCTTATTCAGTGCTCGACATTCTCAAAAGAAATTAATTGCCTCAAGAGAAACGAAAGTATTTCCACGAATAGCCGGCTAATCCCGCTCAACCCCTATCTCGATGATGTCGGCTTACTCAGGGTTGGTGGGCGACTTCAACTCTCGGAGCTACCAGAAAAAACTCGGCACCCTATATTGCTGCCCAGCTCTCATCACGTAACAGATATACTTATACGCGAAGAACATCAACGTCTCGAGCACGCAGGTACCCAAGCTACCCTCTATTCTCTCCGTCAAACCTATTGGATTGTTAACGGTCGTAATACCGTGCGCAAGGTACTTCATCGTTGTATACGATGCTTTCGTGCTAAACCCCGCTTGGCTGATCACGGCTCCGGCATTCTTCCTCAAGCTCGGGTATTAGCTTCACGACCGTTCCTGAAAACAGGAATTGATTACTGTGGCCCTCTATTTATAAAAGAGAAGCGATACCGCAATCGAAACGAGATAAAGGTTTATGTAGCTATATATGTATGCATGGTCACCAAGGCCGTACATTTAGAATTGGTGTGTGACCTCACCACCGAGGCCTTTTTAGCTAGCCTTAGGCGTCTTTTTGCCCGACGGGGAAAATCCCTAGAGATTCACTCTGATAACGCGGCTGATTTTGTAGGAGCTAATCGTGAGCTTCAAGAGTTATTCGAATCCACAGATCATAAAACTGCTATGCAAAAGTTTATTGAGCATGAACGTATAGTTTGGCATTTTATACCACCCAGAGCACCTCATTTCGGAGGGCTTTGGGAGGCCGCCGTGAAATCTTTCAAGTTACATTTGATTCGATCTGTTGGCGACACACTATTAACTTACGATCAATTGGAGACATACGTTGTCGAAATAGAAGCGATATTAAATTCCCGACCACTTTCCGCCATGTCTTCCGACCCTAACGATCTCCTTCCCTTGACCGCTGGTCATTTCCTCATTGGTGGTCCACTGACTTCGTTTCCACAGGAACATTTGGCGGACCTCCCTGCAAACCGCCTCTCAGCATGGCAGCACGCTCAGAAGCTGAAACAGCACTTCTGGAATCGATGGCATCATGAATATCTCAACAATATCATCAGTCTTCACCGTCAAACCAAAGGACCTGAACTTCAAGTTGGCGATCTAGTTATCATGCATGAAGACAATCTGCCACCATTGGCCTGGGCCGTTGGCCGCATCATAGCTACACATCCGGGTCCGGATGGCGTCATACGAGTTGCAACCGTGAGGACCAAGAACGGCGAATATAAGCGGTGCAGCAAGAAACTATGCCCACTCCCGATAGAATAGCGGTTTCCTAATGCTCTCATTTCCTTGAACTCAGTAGTTCAAGGGGGGCGGCAATGTTGAGTCTCATCTCAATTATTATACTGATAGTTCAATTTTTATTAAATCCACATTTTATTATTTTTATCATATTGCGCCTTTTAACGGGATTGAATTATAAAATACCAAGCCATAAGATTATTACTTCGAAATTCTAAGCATTCGAATTTCAATTAGATTTTATACCTATGATTGTATCCCTCAAAATCCTCAAAGGCTTATAAATGGCCAGCTTATCTATTGCTCCCTAATCCATCACAAATCTAGAGAAATATTTGAAATTAGTAGAATTATAAAAGTACCTTATTGTATTTGCTCTCCTGGGTTTTTTCTAAGATTACACAAAGGATTAAGTCTGGTTCTGTAATATTTCTTTCATGAATATTTCCATCTAGCTGTAGCAACTGAAAAGGTTGGTATCTGTGGGGTGGGCCTTTTCAAATGTCTACCCAATGAGGTGCCTCCACCCCCGAATTATTCTCCTACCATAGTAAGTTGCTCAGTTCGATATTGTAGATTTAAAATCAAGTTAGTATAAGTTGAACCTTTGTAGAGAACAGTTGAAATAAACACTTGTCTGTGCTATCTTCGCATTTATTTGACACAAGACTTAGTGCAAGCCTTGTGTGTAACTCAAATACGGACCATAACACAATCGTACGTCAAAACAATCGAAATGTTTTGAATCAACTCTGATTGTTATTATGATTGCAGCCGGGAGATGAAATTTTTGTTCAATTTCTCGACAGAAAGAAAATATGCGATAGATAGATGAAATCGAAGTAGATTATCGATCTATGCTCTATCCTCTCTATCCGTTTTAAACAAATTCCGCACATTTAGTTCAATTCTGAAATTTGTTTCTCGATCGAAGAGAAATTGAGGACTTGAGAGGCATGAAGTGTAAATACATTTTTTTTCTCAAGAAATAATACATGGTTGTTTTTTTATGTTCTGTTTATTATACATTGCGTCAATTCGATATAAGTGATGGAGAATGATTTGAACTTATCCATTTAGAAAAACTTTCAGTTCAATTCTGACGGTTCGGGAAGTCACGCGGTAACAGTGCCTGTACTCATTGCAGATATTAAGGGTACAAGAGTTGTTCCTTTAAAATTCAAAATACCGTCATATGGTCAACATTTAGCTGAAAAGCAATCCTTCCAGTACTGGTAGTAGGTTGTTCTTCAATCAAATTCAGTACTGCTTCCTGAAGCTGTGGTGTTCGTACTTCTCGATGGCGACCACAAGCCTGCGTTCTTTTGTCGAATGAACCATATTCTCGTAATCGTTGATGACGTCGAACAAATATTCTATTCGAAGAATGCTGCCGTTGAGGATACATTTCAGCATATCTTTTAGAAGCTTCTAACCCATTTCCCTGCGACAGACCGTAAAAGTAATGCATATCAGCCATTTCGTCATTTGTGTATGCCATTATAATAACAAGTGAATTATTGAAGTAACAAATTAAGAACAGAACAACAGCACACAATCAGTATTAATTCAATTTTGAAAATTCACAAACTGACAGTGTCATACCAATTTAATTGTCACTATCGCTAATAGCGACCTACTAGATAGATTAGTTTCGTATTTTCGCATTTATGACGATGTATCTCTGTAGTTGTTCCTAAAATAATGTTTTGCAACGAACTGGTTCATTTTGGGCAAAAAACCCAAGCGACATTTTTTGTTTAGAATGAAACAGGCTATTGGAAATAAATTTTTAAATGGTAAACAAAAGATAAGAAAAAAAGTTACATTAGAAATGAATTTTAGAGGTTGCGTTTTCCACCCCTTACAACCATGGGGTAAACCAAATAAATTTCTGGCTGAGTATCTTTTTGGTAGTTCAAATCGTCAGGTTGATTTCAATATTGTAACTTTTTTAGTGCTTGTGAAAAAAATTGTTATACAAATCTTATGTACCCCTTTAAGAAGCTGTATCTCAACACGGGATGATCCAATGAAATTTCTTTGTATGAAAGATCCAATCTTTTTTTCGATGAGAAATCACCTACTAAAATGTTTTACACTTATTCAGTTACACCCTGTATATTGTATGTTATTGCATGCGTATGTGTTTTATATTTTTGAATTGGCACCTAGGATATTGGTGAAAATTTACCATATAGCTACGAATCGAGTTCCCTTCTTCATTTTATCAGGTTTTTATTAGGTTTCAGCATTTTCCTATGTTATACAGGGAGGAGCGATTAAGCGGGTCTCTCAATAGTTGCTCAGAGATCTATCTCACGTTGTTTTATAGCAACTCTAGTAGAATTCAGGCAAGGCATACCTATGTTCTGAGTGAAGTTATTTCAATTTTCAGAGGAATTTTCCTGTCATTTCGTTTTAATGGTTCATTCATATTTTTCACACGGTTATAATTATATATTTCTTTTTCTTTCATATTGTTTAAATAATGTTCAGTAAAACATATATAAAACGATAGTTTCAATATTATTTTGTATGGGTTGAACTCCAGTAGTAGTTTTTGTTAATTTCGTTTTATCACACGTTAAAAGGTAAGACCTCATTAGTCCTTGGCTCGCACAAGTTTCTCAACTTCTGATAGTTGTCGTTCATATGAAGGAGACAGCTAATTAACGGAAAGACAGATTTTCAAACATATATATTTCAATAATTGTTAATCCGGTCATTCCGCCGACTTTATTCATCAATAAAGTTGGTTTGTGAAAACTGCATATGTTATTTCCTTCCCTCAAACCCCTAAAAGACCACGCATTTACGCCGTAGCCGAATCCAGTCTCTGAGGATATAATTGGTGCATAACCAAGCCGTTGCTCTTCGAAGATTAGAAGGTAAAAAATTCGACTATTGACCAAGTCGCCTACTAATTCTCAATACGTGTGATCAGGACGAATTTCAAAACTTTTTCTGATCTGGTGGCAGCAACTCTCGCGCTACCAAACTAAATTAAAACATGAATACCTCTGGCTGAACGATCCCATATACAGGGGGTGGATTTTTCTGGGGCGAGTATAACTGAGATAATTATTATATATCATTAGTGGTATATAGGGATCGCCAATTCAGACCCGACGGTCATTTATTACACGTCCATCGTGCTTTGGAGGATTTTACAATCCTTCCCGACGTGGACCTTGCCAAGATGACAAGGTCATCTGCATAAGCTTCTGTCGAGGGCATCAAGCAGACTATCCATCAACTAACAAATAAGTCGTTATTTTGAGTGACTTTAACATAAATTTAAAGAAAAATAATACAGACGTACAAGAGTTACGTAGTCTTTTGGATTATTTTGGGATGGCAATAACCATAAGTGAACCTACCAGGATCACACCTCACTTCCTCTACCTGTATTGACAATGTTCTTACAAATATAGATCTACAATTATATGAATCAGGTATTATGGAACCCTGTTTAGCGAACCATCTGGGTCAATATTTCGTGTACTACGGAACACAATCTGAAATGACTCGTTTTGCATATCAGAGATGTGTAACACATAGAGAAATCGCGAAACTGGGAAAAAAACTGGCAAATTTTAAATACATTTGCAATATTGATAATTATGAAAATGACTGAAATATCTACAAAAATCTCAAGACTGTATATAAAAACATCGTTTCCTTTGACAATAAATCCAAAGCTTGTTGACGGATTGTCAATTATGAGAGGAATTAAATTAATTTAATTCAACCTACTGACGATATTATCCCAGATGAGTTCAAAAACGTTTTCGAATCAGTAGCTGCTGAAGAAGTTCTTGACACCGTTAAATCCTTGAAAAACTCAAATTGCATGGATGTGTATAGTTTAAATAGTAAGATAGTGAAAGATACTATTGACATTATTTTGGTACCATTATCATTAATTTGATCTTTTTGACAGGCGTTTCTGCTGATGTATTGAAATACACCAATAATAGGGCATTTCAATTATTAACCAAACATCATTTGTTGTTGATTGTAAATTACTTTTGCAATTTTTACGAGCTGCACTTGAATATCCTTCAAATCCGCAAAATCGCTATGTTCTTCCCGTGTCTGGTCCGAAACCAAAAAAAGGAAGAAGAGACGTTTTCTTCCTGAAGTTCCGAAATGTCGAATGACATAGATGAATTATTTAGAAAAAGAACAATATCTTATAAACAAACTTTGGGAATATGCCGATTCCAGCAAAAATAAGAAGACTCGTTTCATATTTCTGGTATATACAGGGTCATAATAAATCCTAATACGAAATGAAATGTTTTTGTTATATCATAAGTAAACTATAAGCTATGTGAAATTTTATAGACGTTTCTTTTCTCTATTATGAAATCTACTGGGGATTTACTAGAAATTAAGGTAGGTCAAATTTTAATTGGAATATTTTCTATGAGAAACATGATGTCAACTACTTGACGACTCTGGTCATTGATGTCTACGCAAATGAACGTAAATGAATTCTTTCCACTTGAAAAATACTTGGAAATTATAAAGTCTCTGGTAACTTGGTTTAACGACTTCCTCAGGAATATGAGAGAAAAGCTTACTGAGGTGAAATATATTTGCAATATTAATAATAATGAAAATGAGTGGAATACCTACAAAAATCTCAAGACTGTATAAAAAAACAGCTGAAGCAGGCAAAAAAGCAGCAAATGATATGTACATCGTTTCCTTTGACAATAAATCCAAAGCTTGTTGGCGGATTGTCAATTATGAGAGGAATAAAATTAATTTATTTCAACCTACTGACGATATTACCCCAGATGAGTTCAAAGACTTTTTCGCATTAGTAGCTCATGAAAAAGTTCTTGACACCGTTACTTGAAAAATTCAAATTGCATGAATGTGTATAGTTTAAATAGTAAGATAGTGAAAGATACTATTGACATTATTCTGCCACCATTATTCGAATTCATTAATTTGATTTTTCGTCAGGTGTTTCTGCTGATGTATTGAAATACACCAATAATGGGGCACTTCAATTTTTGACCAAACATCATTTGTTGTTGATTGTTAATTACTTTTGCAATTTTTGCAAGCTGCAATTGAATTTTTTGAAAAGTCATCTACACGATATTCCAATTCGAAACACACCTCGTTCATATTTTTTGGAGACGGAGAAAAA